GCGTAAACGGAATAAAGCGTAAACGGAATAAAGCGTAAACGGAATAAGGTGCTCAGAGAGACAGAGAAAAGGATAGGTAAATAGAGACTGCTGCAGGCCAGAGACAGAAATGTTGCTATGGGAACATGGTGCGATGTTGAAGTGGCAGGCAACTGAAAGCTCAGGTTCGTTTCTACAGACAGAGCATAGGTGTTCAGCAAAGCAGTCACCTGGTATGCATTTCATTTTTCCCAGTGTAGAGGAGGCCACATTGTGAGCAGCAAATACAGTAAATCAGATTGAATGGAGTGCAGGTAAATTGTTGCTTCCCCTGGAAGGAGTCTCTGGGGCCTTGGATAGTGAGGAGAGATAAACAGGCGAGCGTTGCATCTTCTGCAGTTACATGGGAATGTGCCTTAGGGGTCTTCAAATCAAAGGTTTGGGCATCAGTACCTGCGTGGGGCCCAGTTTTTTGTATGTCTGTTTTTGTGGTTTGAGGAATATTCTTTGTCCCAATCTTAGGGTCCCTCTCCATGACTCTTTCCTCAGTACATTGATGACATCATCATTGCTGTTCCCCCTCTTGTCCAGAACTGGAAGAATTTATCAATTTTGCTTCCAATTTCCACCCTGCTGTCGCCTTCATCTGGTCCATCTGTGTTCCCATTTTAATGTTTCTGTCTCTGGCTTGCTGCAATCCTCCAGCGAGGCTTAACATTAACTGGAGGAACAACACCTCGTTGTTTGCTTAAGTAGTTTACAGCCTTCAGAAGGAGGCGATGGCCTAGTGGCCTTGTTGCTAGACTGTTAACCCAGAGACCCAGATAATGTTCTGGGGACCCACGTTTGAATCCTGCCACAGCAGATGGTGGAATTTGAATTCAATAAATACCTGGAATTGACAGTCTAATGATGACCACGAATCCATTGTCGATTGTCAGAAAAACCCATCTGGTTCACTAATGTCCTTTAGGGATGGAAACAGCCATCCTTACCTGGTCTGGCCTATATGTGACTCCAGACCCACAGAAATGTGGTTTACTCTGAACTGACCTCTGGGCAATTAGGGATGGATAATAAATGCTGCCTTGCGAGCGACACCCTCATCCCATGAATGAATAAAAAAAATTTGAGTTTAACAATTTCAGAACATTAACATCCTCTACCATCCTCTACTCACACTGCAAATTCCTGCTTTGTCTGGATTGCTCCCAGTGTAGCCAACCCATTTTCAACCATTTACACTTCTTGTTAGTACCTTATCCAGGATTTATCTCTCTCTCTCTCTCTCTCTTTTTCTTTCTCCCCCATCCCCTCTCTCTCTCTGCCTATCATCAGCAATCTCTGTGCTTCTCCCTTTTTTCACATTCTGTCCCTGCGCACTGTTTCCATATACTCTGTTCACTTCCCCACCCTGTCATCAGCATTATTTGTATCTTTTCCCAGTAATTTTCAGTTCTGATGAAGGGTCACTGGACTCAGAACATTTACTGTTTTTCTGTCCCAGATGCTGCCAGACCTATTGAGTTTCCCCAGCACTTTGTTCTTGTGTCACATTTCCAGCATCTGCAGTTCTTTGTTTGTATTGTAATCCAATGAAAGTTGACGTGGAGCCAAAGGATAAAACATTTGCATAGGCAACAAAAGTTTGGTCAAATAGTTAGGTTTTTGGGGACCTCTTGACTTAGTAGAGGGAGGCAAGAAGGTTGAGGGATGGAACTCCAAAGTATAGATTGTAGAAAGCTGAAAATGTCACAAGTGGTCAAACAAAATAATTTGGGGATGTACTATAAACTAGGGTTGGATACATATAGAATTTTGAGTTGTAGATTTTTGTGTATTTTCTCAGTCTCTAATTAGAGAAAATTCTGGCTTTTCTAGGACTAAATATAAGACAAACAGTCTGACAATGCAGAAGCATGTCAAAAGAGGTGGTGGTGAGGTAGAATTTGGTGTTGGCAGAATAAGTGTAAAATCTGATGTATTTTTGTCATTGTGGCTACCACCATGATCTCGTTGGTCTCCTTTGGTGGGGTATTCTGTCTTTTATCACCTCTCCAGCAGTTGCTACTTGATTCTTGTCTCTCTTTTCCTACTCTTTGCCTGAATCATACCATGGTTTCCTGAGTCAGTCCTCCCATAAGTAGTCTTTTTTGAACATTTCAGTTTCTTTTCATGGAAACAAAGTGTTTAATAGTGACTCTGCTGAGGCTTGGATTTTGAACATGAGTGACACTAAAAGCCCTGGTGGAATGGGCAGCCAACTGACAAGATGTGATGTTATTTCTGTTTTCTTGGAAGTGACCACATGAACAAAACTTTAGAATGGAACATATGTTATATATTCCATTTTATTCTCCATCACTCCCAGGGTGTTTTGTTTGTTTAACATCTGTTGATAAAAATGGAATGGTGCACTTGTAATAAGAATATTTTCACTTCAGTGAAAATCTTTAATAGATTGAGCAGTTTTAAGATACATCTATTATTGTTTAACATAGGGAATGAATTTGTTTTGTCAGCAGCTAGCTTCCTGGGACAAGTTTTTACCATCGATTATTTGGGCTGCTCCATCATGTAGAAATTTTACGTTCCTCGGATTTAAACTTGGCTTTCAGGTCCAGAAAGCAATAATTATGAATTTGGTATGCTGCTTAAAAACTCATTATACCTTGTTCAAGAGGATGTAACTTTTGCAAGGTTTTTACAGCAAGGTTAATAGCAGAAAAGGTCTTCTTGCAATAAGGGATACTTCAGTGAAGTATGCAGATGTGAGTAGAATCACTGACAGCAGTTTCCGGACTTTTACAGTTACCTGTACATGGGCATACTCCAGAAGTTATGTCAGTTTCCGAGGAATAGTTGATGGCCATTGACCAAGGTCCCTTTGTAATCTTAGAAAGCCAAATTCACTGTCTACTATGCCACCAATTTTGGTGTTGTCCGCTAACTTACTAACCATGCTTTCTATATTCTCCTCCAAATCATTTCTATCAATGACAAACAAGAGGGCCCAGAACCGATCCCTGTGGAATACTGCTGGTGACAGGCCTCCAGTCCAAAAAACAACCCTCCACCACCACTCTCTGTCTCTTGCTGTTAAACTAATTATGTATCTAATTGGCAAGCTCACCCTGAATTCCATGTGACCTAACTTCACTGATTAGTCTACCATGCAGAACCTTGTCAAATCCAATCTGGACAAATGCAAGATATTGCATTTTGTTACAACAAAGAGAGGTAGGACTTATGCAGTTAATGGTAGGGCCTTGGCTCATGTTGTAGAATGGAGGGACTTGGGGGGCAAGTACATAATTCTTTGAAGTTTGCGTCACATAGAGATAGGGTGGTTAAAAAGGTGTTTAGTGTGCTTGCCTTCATTGTTCAGACCTTTGAGTATAGGAGTTGGGACGACATATTGAGGTTGTACAGGACATTGGTGAGGCCTCTCCTGGAGTATTGTATCCAGTTCTGGTTGCCCAGTTATAGGAAGGATATTATTAAGCTGGAGAGGTTCAGAAGAGATTTACCAGGATGTTGCTGGGTAAGGAGGATTTGAGTTATAGAGAAAGGCTGGGACTTTTTTCAGTGCAGCGTAGGAGGCCGAGAGGTGACCTTTATAGAAGTTTATAAAATCATGAGGGGTATAGATAGGGTTAATGGTAGTTGTATTTTCCTTAGGATGGGGGATTTCAAGACTAGGGGACACTTTTTAAGGTGAGAGGACAGAAATTTGAAAAAGACATCGTGGCAAATTTTTTTACAGACTGTGGTTTATGCATGGAATGAACTTCCTGAGGAAGTGATGTATGTGGGCACAATTATAATGTTTAAAAGATATTTGGATAAGTACATGACTAGGAAAGGTTTGGAGAGATATGGGCCATGAGCAGGAAGGTGGGACTAGTTCAGTGTGCTGTTATGTTCAGCATGGGCTGGTTGGACTGAAGGCTCTGTTTCCATGCTGTATGACTCAATGAATGTTGAAAGTTCAACATCATGACTATTTAAAACCTGGGCCAGTATTTCATTAGTCAAAATTTCATGTGAACTTAGACACTACATTAATAAACAGTTAACAACTGTCTTTAAAATATAGTCTGTTACAAGCCATAATAAAGCAATTGAATACGTACTGAAGCTTGAAATACTTGGTGTTTGTATGTTGACTCCTGTTCTCCTGGAGTGGAAGTGAATGTTTGTCCCTCTCTAATTGCCCATTTGTGGCAACATCTGTAATATTTACAAATCGCAAGTTTTATCATGTGACCTATAGGCTATTGAGATAATTCATGAGTCGCCTTACAGTACTTAGGCCCAGAAATAGAAAGTTGCTGTTGGTAAATTCTGCATCCTATGTGGTTTGTCCAAGATGTTTTCTTGCATTGATTTCATAAAGAGAACTGCAAGACCAAACATGTATTTTGGCATAATCTGTGATAGTAGCCTAGATGTTCTTAAAATAGTCTGTCTTTAACATTATAATGAAAATAAATTGTAATAAGTAAAATAATGGTTTAAATGAACTAATGTTAAATAATGATTAAAACAGTGGAAATTAGTTTAAAAATTTACTTTTATTGGTAATATGTTGTAATAATTGTGAGATGTCTTTCTAGAATCAGTCCACACGTTTGTTGCTTGCTTATGCTTTGCGATCTGGTTCTTTGATGATTAAAATTGTGCATCATTCCTGAATACAGATTTAGTAATGTCAATTACTTATGTTCCTGTAGTTCACGGCTTCATACCTGATTAAAACTGAAGAACCATCAGATAATTTTCTGGTGTTTAATGATATATTGTCTCATGTGCAGAATGCTGTGCAAGATAGATTGGCTAGGTTTGTTGTCCTGTCTCAATGGGTAAGATTTGGTGAAAGAGACATTATTTGATTTCTCAAGTAACTTTTTTTTGTAATATTCTCAGAAATTTGTTGTTTCAAATTAAAGGTAAGGAACCATGAGGCCATAGAGCTTTAGATGATGTCACTTCTGCATAAGAGCTGATTTGTTGGCACTGCTTTAGCTAAAGATTCAGGAGCCTGTAATAGTAGGACAGCTGGTTGGAGGCTGTACATCAGATCCTTGTGTTATGCAACTCAGCCCTGGTTTCATGACAGATTATGGCACTGAGCATTCGTGTTCATTATCTAACGTACATAATTGGATCATACCTTTAGTGTAATTTTTCAAAGAAGAAAATTCCTTAAGATCAGTAATGGATATCAAAGCTTTACAGGATAATTATTCTCATTATTTCTCTGTGCAGCTGAAGGTATGAGTTTTAGGAACAGGTGATGTTCAGTTTTCTTTATGCATTCCCAGTGATCAGTAATGGCATATTCTGGTAATCAGTACTGTGTTGTACAGTGGATGCTTTCACATCAATTAAGATGTAGCCATGTCTGTTTCTTTTGGTGGTTTCTTCTGTTTGAATGATTTGCAATGTTTGCTGATGTAGGCAGCAGCTATGATTCTGAAATGGAGGAACATTGCTGTGTGGTTTTGATGATAAATCAGAAAGCAGTAATGGGACATGCAGTTAAGGGAAGATTTTAATGTTTTACGGAATGTATGGTGATGATGGTAGTTCTGTTTTTTTAAAAGAATTAACCTTCTGAAGGGCTTGAGGCACAGCATGGTGTATTTGCATTTTATAATAGCCATTTTCTTTTTGCTAATGTATTGAAACAAAAGATGCCTTTGAAATTAGAGTACACTCTGGTGTCTTATTTTTATTGTCTATGTTACATAAGATTCTGAAGTATTTTTGACAGTGAAAACAAGACTTTTTCTTCTTCCCCTTCCCACCCCATCAGCTGGAAGCTCTTAAGGAACAAAACAGTAAATACCAAGAAGATTTGAACCAATCAAAACAGCAGCTCAGCTCTGAAAATAAAAGAATAGGAAGCCTTTGCAAAGAAATGTGAGTAACTGTGCTTAATGTTCGGAATAACCCAGATATCATTGTATGGGTAGATTTTTTCATGGAATAATGTTATCTTTTTCTGAAGCTTGAGTACACAAATTATTTCATATCACAAATCTTTTAACTTGTCTATTTTCACACTCTGCAATATTGGAGAACTATAGAATTGATTCATTTGATACACGAGTTCATGGAATGCTTCTGTTAATCATGTTAAAACGCAGCAAGTTTTGATTGCCACCAGGTGGCGTACACTCTCAATTCACAGTTTTACTTCTGCGTGAGGAGATGCTTGGCTTCTGGGTGTTACCTTTGTTTGCAAATTGTTGTTGGAAACTTGCCAGCACACTTGTGTACATTGAAAATGAAGCAGAATAATGACATAAACAGCTGTCAAGTTGCAATATTGGTCAGTTGGAAGCTCAAGGGTTAACTTAACTTCCCTTCCTCCTCTCCTACAAATCTCCCTCTCCTCAGCCAGTTCAGATCTCTGGAAAGAATATTTTTATTGATTTTACAGTATTTTCTAAATCAGCAAGATTTCACTTTGCAAAAGAGTAATTGAGTGACCTTGAATATGTTAAGATTAATTTCATATTTTGCAAAAGTAACTCTGAATGTTTCTTGTATATCAGACCTTATCTAAGAAATTTACGAATTTCAGAAACTTAAATAATTTGCATTTACATAGCACCTTCCAATAGCAAAAATGAAAATTAATCAATGAGAACATTTATTAATTTAAAAATAGTTCTGACACTGAGCAATAGGGACGGCACAGTGGCTCAGTGGCTAGTACTGCTGCCTCGCAGCGCCAGGAACCCAAGTTCAATTCCACCCTCAAGCGACTGTCTGTGTGGAGTTTGCACATTCTCCCCATGTTCTGCATGGGTTTCCTCCAGGTGCTCCAGTTTCCTCCAAAGATGTGCAGGCTAGGTGGATTGACCATGCTAAATTGCCTATAGTGTTCAGGGATGTGTAGATTAGATGGGTTATAGGGGGAATGGGTCAGTGTGGACTTGTTGGGCCAAAGGACCTGTTTCCGCAATGTAGGGATTCTATGAATCTATGAATAAAATATAAGAAGAGGTGACGGAAGCTTGTTCAAAGAGGCAGATTTTAAGGAACATATTACAGGAAGGCAAGGAAGCAGAAATATTAAGGGAGGGTATTCTAGAGTTTGACCAACACGACTGCAGTCAAGATGAGATATTTTAATGAACTTGTTCAGAAACGTTGTTATACACCTCTGCATCATGTAGGTCTCGAACCCCAGACCTCTTGGCTCAGAGGTAGCGATACTAGATTGCCAGTGATAGAGCAATTAAAATCAGGGTTAAATATGATGCTGAAATTGGAGGTGTTTAGCGACAAAACCAGTGGAGATTAGAGATAGAAAGAGATATAAACATTATCTTATTTCTTACAATGCAGTTTTCTATTCAGTTGATCAATGGATGACATTTCCCACATAGAATTGGGTTTAAGCTTAGTTTAGGAAGTTGAAGAAAATTTACTCTCCATACAAGAGTCCTTTTTAAAGTGGGTATGGACATTCCTAGTGAATTTGGGTGAGTAAAGTCATCGTGTTGCTAAGACAGCTTAATAAAGAGTAACATGGAGGTAGTTAATGTGAGGTGGAAAATTGGAGGCCACCTGTTTCCATTTCTGACATTGGTTAACTCTGCTCTGTCTCAGTTCATCTGCTGGAACCTTTATTCCTCGAGACTTGATTTTTTTTTTTCCCTGGAAAATCTCCCTCTACAAACGTGAAGTCATTCTGCACTTCCTAATTTGCACTAAATCCCATTTGTCCATTGCTTTTCTGCATCTAGTTAAGAGACGCCACAATTTTGAAATTCTCATCAAACAAAAAACTAAGAACTGGGGATGGTTGAAATCTGAAACAAAAACACAAATTGTTGGACAACCTCAGTAGGTCTGGCAGCATCTGTGGAGAGAAACGTTTCCAGTCCAGTGAACCTCCTTCAGAACGTGGACTATTCCCAGGTCTGTTGAGGTTCTCCAGCAAATGAGATTGTTGATTTGTTCGCCAAGCTGATAGGTTGGTTTGCAGACGTTTCGTCACCATACTAGGTAACATCATCAGTGCACCTCCAATGAAGCGTTATTGGTCTGTCCCACTTATTATTTATGCGGTCCAGTCTGATATGGTGGTTGGCCTCATTTCTCGTTCTGCTTCATTGTGGTTGGTGTATGGGGTCTATTTCTACATGTTTGTTGAAGAAGTTCCTGGTTGAGTACCAGGCCTCTATGAAATCCCATGCATGACTTTGGTTGGCTTGTCCTAGGATGGTTATGTTGTTTGTTTTTGTTTAAAATTCTTACAATAGCTTTCAAATTCTGCTGTTTGCAAGGGTCTGCTGATGATAACTTGGCCTCCATGTTTCCTAACATGACAACAGTGTGCTTCAAGTAGTACCCACTGTAAAGCATTTTGAAACATCTGGTAGTCATGAAATGCATTATACATATGCAAATATTTCTGTCTTTTTTTTTAACAGGTGCTATATAAATACATTTAAGCATTAATTTAATAGATTAGAAGAACATTTTTCTGCAGCCTATATTGTATCTGGAGTTACTTGTTCCTGACAGAATCACAGAATCCTACGGTGGAGAAGGAGGCCATTTGGTCCATCGAGTTTGCAATAAGCCTGCAAAGAGCATCCCACTCTGATCCATACCCCCTGTCCCCGTCCCCATAATCCCGCATTTACCATGGCTAATCCACCTAGCCTTCACATTGCATTCCTGGACTTTACCAGGCAATTTAGCATGGTCAATTCATCTAACCTGCGCATCTTTGGACTGAGAGGAAACTGGAGTGCCCAGTGGAAACCTACTGGGGATAATGTGCAAACTCCACACAGGCAGACAGTCACCCAAGGCTAGAATTGAACCCAGATCACTGGCACTGAGAGCCAGTAGTGGTAACCACTGTGATGCTCCAAGGTGGCTGAAATAGGTGCCAGAAATTAAAAATACTTAATTTACAAAGAACAAACATCTTTCCATCAAATAAAACCAGGAAAGGTTACTTTTTTTGCATAATTTTGCAGCATTATCAATCCTCTAATAACAAAAATATGATAATGTTGCTAGAATTTTCAGTTAAAAATTGCTCATAGTTCAGTTATTTTTTGGGAAAAGTTAACTCTGGCCTTGCTTTCAGCAGTTAGTCTAATACAGTCGGATTTCTTTAGCAAATTGTATTTTTGTCTTTAATTCTAAAATAACTCCAGAAATTAAACAATGTCAATTATGCTCCCATATTTTTATGTATATCTGTTGATATTTTTAAAGAGCGCATCCAGTTTTCTGCTAGAACTGCTCTCTGTGGAACTCTGGACATAGCTTGTGAGAAAGGATAGTGGTGGGCTGGGCAGAGACTAGCTTATTTTAAAAGAATATCCCCAGTCTGAAAGCAAACAACGATGCTAGAAATGAACAGGTTCTAAGGGATTCCTTTATTAATGCAACCAAGACATAAGCTTCTCATTCTTGCAGACACCTGATTCTTTCTGGGCTCTGAAAGATCATTTGTGTCTTCTCCTTTGAATTTTTGAAGAATAGAACTATGCCTGAGATGCATCTAAGGATGATGCAGTAAAACAATTTAAATAAAATTACAATCCGACCCTTTTTTTCATTGTTACAATTGCTCAAATCCAATATTTCACTAGTCTTTTTAAATGCTGGTGTAGAAATAATTAGAGAATGCAAGCGCTTTAATTGTGTAAAAGAAATTCTATGGTCTGTTATCTTAATGAACCAGACTACTGCATCGCAGTGGTCCAATAAACATCTGCATGTTTTTATTTCAGTTGCTCTCATTCTATAACCACAATTGTATTTTACAAAGTGTTTTTAATTTAATTCAAGAGTTGGAATACTTGGCAGTGATTTTGATCCATTGAAAGGTCACTGATGCATTAACAAATTATCATCATGGGCAGTCAATACTTTTAAGTATGATGTAGGTCTTTTGCACAGCTGAAGATGTTCATTTAGTCAGTAGAGAATATTCTTATGATGAATGCCTCTGTTAAATCATACTGTGAAAAGATATTGTTACATCTAGGGTTTAATTCAAAATTGTCATGACCTTTGATCAGAGTATTTCCATACATGCAAGGATAAATGAAAATAAAATTTTAATATGGGAACAGCACAGTGACGCCATATGGTGTCATTTGGAAGGATGGGATATTCGTGGGCAGATTTTTTTTTTGGTCCTCAATGCAATAAATTCTCGATTCATTACTGGTGCTATTCTACTGGAAAGGAGAAAAGAAAGCAAATGAGAAGATATACGTATGAATGTAAATGCCATGAATAGAAGTTATCATCAACAGTGAAACATAAAGTGGTATTGTACATCCTTCCAGAATTTATTCTTCCTCTGTCATGAATTATGAAACCCAAGCCGTCTATTGAATTTATTTTATAAACCATGATTTAGATGTTATCAAGAGATAGTAGGAACTGCAGATGGTGGAGAATCTGAGATAACAAGGTGTAGAGCTGGATGAACACAGCAGGCCAAGCAGCATCAGAGGAGCAGGAAGGCTGACGTTT